ACATTGCCACCTTGGAAAAAGCCACCGTGGAAGAGAAACTGTACTCACTTTAGAGAAGGGAAACGGTGAAGTCTCTTGATGAAGTTACTACCACTGTAGTGTGATAGTTATCGACGATAGGACATTTCCTGATGAAGCAGATGAACCCCACGTGAAGCAGAAGCCAACGAGACGGAGACCAGTACAGAAGAATATACGCCCCATAAATTTAAGAGACAGATAGTCTTTTAAAATAAAGATCGTTTTGATAATTTTGTCCAGTCTTTTTCTTAGTCACATGTAGAGGAACTACAGAACACTCCCCTTATTTCTTGTACAAATTTGTTGTTATTGCAGAACACAATGGATTGATTTGAAGAAGTAATTCTCAAGATATTGTTGGTATGTGTTAATTCACACAGGTGGTGTAACATATTATGTACTTGATATTAATTTCCATATATACACTTGAAACTTTAATGTTTAAAAAGTAAAGTGAATTAAAGAAATATTAGTAATAATATCATTCATACTGATTATATATGTATGAATTTTCAGAATTTTATTTGATGGAAGATAAGGTTATGATGAATTGAAGCTGAGACTTGATGATGTATTGATTGAATACTTTTTTGCCCAAGGACAAATTTTATAGGGAGAAAAAGAGAAAAGAATGGAAAGTTAAAGTTAATAACATGAACGTACCAAACAGAATATTAGTTTGTGCTGTTGAAGTGGTGTGTACATGTTAATAATAATATAAAGTACTCTTGGATCATGTTGTGAATTATGATGATTGATCTTAAGGTTAAATTTAATTGTGGCCTGAGGACAGGCTTGAGAGAGAATAGGAAGGAAAAGTGTGATATGAGGGCATATCATATAGTTCCTACCTACTGAAAATATTAATTTTTTTTATTTGTTATTAAGCACAAAGCTACACACTAGGTTTTCTGTGATGTGCCCACTATGAGCGTAGAAACCTGATTTTTAATGTTATAAGCTCTCAGATTTACCATGGAACCACTGGAGGCAATAATAATTTTGATTATTTTATATTAGGAAATGAGTTTGATAAATTCATTAATACCTAAAGATAATTATTTCTCATGGTATGTAATAATCAGTAAAAAGTGTTTAGTCACTGAATATGTAAAAAGTGTCTTAATGATTTGCGTAATTCTTTTGTAGTTCAAAAATATTCATAATATTCAATGCTATTTACATTGATAAAAAGATTATTCTTCTGGTAGTTCTGTATAAGGAATAATTCAAGATCAGTAGCTTAGTGATTATAATTATTGTGCAAGTGTGTACCAAACCCAATTATGCATTTATTGTGAGTAGTTCCATATCTTTTTGAATTCAATAAACACCAACTTGTAATTCCTTTAAAATAATTTTAAGATTTATAGAGTTATTCAAATGTATATCAATATTTTAATGTTCATACATTTGAATAAATCTATACATTTAAATGTGTTTTATTACATCAAAGTCTACATGAAGATTTGTCTTTAAATATCTTATTTGTGGTCACTTATTTTCCAACTTTAATTTTTGTATTGTTTCATAATTTTAGTGTTAATGTAGGACTTTTATTTTATAAGTTACCCAAAATGTTTTAGAAAAAAACTGATTTATGTTCTTATTATGATATTATGTATACCTTTCAATATCTATTTTTGGGATGATTTTCAGTTTAGCTGTTTCATGTCATTTACATATCTTTTGTAACCTTAAAGATTCAAGCATAAGCAAGTAAAAATCAAACAATAATGATAATAATCATCATAAGACCAACTTCTTTATTTTGTTTTACTTGATACAAATTCTAGTCAAGATGATTAAGATTATTATATTGACTTATAAACACATTGAAAATACAAAATATTGTTACAAACAGTTTGGAAGAGTAAGTGTTCCATATGGAAGTGATATAATGGTTACTCCATCTGTTAGCTGAACTGGAAGTTTAGAGGCAGCTTTCTCTTTGCTGAAGAACATCAAAGCATAGCCCACAGCTGAAAATGGAAAAATATTTAATCTCACCTTACCAAAACTTCAACAGTGTATTTTGTTAGATTTAGTTAGAATCAGTACTTTCTTATTATGATTCATCATGTATTACAATTCTTTGTTTAGCTATAAAGACTTTGAAGTCAGAGACTTAAAAAAATATAAACTATATAATTTATGTAGCTGTATTATATTTAGTTACAAATAGTTTCTTGAAAAAATTATACATGTCCAACTCATGTGATTAGCCTTATATAAACATTTAAGACTTGACTGATGTTGTCACAGAACTACAACAAGCTACATTATACCACATTACTAGCTATATGAGCATTAGTTTTAAGCAGTAAAACAAAATACATATCAGTTGTAATCTAAACAGTCAAAACAGCTAACAGTAAAACACAGTGCTAACAAATACATCTATGTTTTACCTAAAATTCATGAGCAAGAATATACATTTTCTGTATTACACTTAACTGCAGAGATTAACCAGCTGTCCTTTAGCTAGTTTTCTTGAAGATATAATATAACCATTAATAATTAACAAGTAAAAACATTCTCTTATGTTAAGAACTAAGTGCACTTTATAAAGATTATAAAATACCACAATAAAGTCACAAAACATAATGATCAACTTCATGAAGAACTCTCAAGGAAAGCACCCAAATGCAATTTCCACAGCATAATATAACTCACAACCTTCTGTATCAGCACCAACTACTTATAACATGATCAGGGATTGAAATAACTGAGAAAGGTAACAAACTACTATTCCTAAATATGATAGTTGCCAGAAACATGTAACTCATGTACTACAATATTATACAGAAAATCCACAGACATTGTTAAATATTTTGAATATACATCAAACCATCCCAAAAGTGTAAAGACTGGTGTCATAGAATGTTTAATTTCCAGAATGAACAAGATTTATAATACTCAAAATCTTAAAAAGAAAAACACCTCAAAACAAACCTATATGGCAACTTAATACTCAGAGCACTTTACAAAGAAAAGGATAAAGAAGATAAACAGCAAGAATAAGTAGGAACAAATTTACAAACACATAGCCATATCGCCTAAGTAAAAAGTTTCAATATACAGAGGCTATGTAAGCAGCAGGAGGTCACATTTAACAGTATTCAGAAGGCACAACATGACATGATCACAGTTTGCTTAAAAGCTCAATGGAGAGCAAAAATACTATTCACAGCCTACATTAGACAAACAAAATACCAATAAACGTTAGCTTTCAGAAGCATAACAGTGAGACAAGACTCGGCAATATTAATCTAAATGCAATAGCCTGTCACACAAAGGAAGAAAAACATACAATAGATTGGAATAAAACTAAAATAACTAGATATGAGCAACACACAAGATAAAAAAAGCATTTGACATCCACCTTAGCCACCTTACTGATAATATACTGAGTTGACCAAGCATAGGAGTCGGCAAAACCTTGATACTTCTTATATGCTACAAAAATGTTTATTCAACCTGAACCACAAAAATAATACTTCTCAGGACATCCCTGAAGAAGCTAAAATGTTAGATAAAAATAGTTAGTAATTAGTATCTATTTTAAAAGAAATTAATAATTAGAACTTAGGTGATTGTATAGGCCACTAACCATGGAAATGATCATTGAAAACATTTTTTTAAAGAAATCATTTTAATTCCATTACTTAATATGGTAAATTGCAACTTAAATAGAAGCTAAAGTAACTTGTCTGTTAAAACTTCAGAAATGACATGAAGTTTTTTTTTTCAAAGTACACTTACGATAATCAATGAAAGAACAGTGACAGTCATCTTTCATGTAAAAATCCAGTGTAATGTTGTTATAAAGAATTTTGGTATCTTTAGTGATATTATCTTCTACATCCAGTCTTCCAGATATGCATCTAATATTTTCATTCAGTCCTGCTGTAGACATAAAAACCAAATTTATATTATTGCAAAAACAATTTATGAGATAAAATTTAAACTCAGTTATAAAGAGTAGTGATAGGTGATTATCTTTCAAATGTTACCCTAACAAATAATTAATACTTTAACAAGTCAGTAAAATAATATTACAATTATAAAAAAGAAATATGGATTTACAGTTCTAAGGAAATCCCACTGGTTTTTGTGAAACATTATAAACTTGAAATGGAATTTTTTATAATAACTGCTTGATGTCTAAAATGTCTGAGCTGTCTAAAACAATATTTAACTTATATATTACACAATTCAAAAATACATTTTTAAAAACAATAATTACAGGTTTACTATTAAAAAAGAATCTGTAGTAATATTATCTTATAGGTTTTAAAAGCCAGACAATTTGAATCACAAATATCACAACATACTTTCCAAAAACTAAACAAAGTTTTTACTTGTATTAATTCTTCCATTTTAAAAGTAACCATGTTTTTACTTATTATCACAATCTGAAAACATTGACATATATATATTAGTTAATGACACATTAAGTTTGATCAACATAAATCATGCTAAAACAATAACAAAATAAATATTTTTTTCTTTTCTTGAAACAATGTGATAACATGACTAGTCATCAAATATAACAATAACAAAGATATAACATACCTTCACTGATGATTGTGCTTTTCCATGAGAATACTGTTTGTGCTATGAAATAAAAACAATAGAATTATATTCTTTTAACCATATACACTATTCTAGACATGAATATTTACAAAAATATTTTGTAAGTATTAATGAGTCAGTATACAAAGTAATCTTAATACATATATTTTTCATAACTAATCAACATAAAAAAATATTTCCAATAATTAAATCAAAATCTTAGTTAATAAAATAACAGTACCGAGATTCCATTCAAACAAGTACACATAAAATTATTTTCAAACTAACACTGCTAAAACCAAAGTTCATAATTTAAAATATCAATATATTGTTATAAAAAATATTTTAACTATAGTTTGTACCAACCATCAACTTTCATCTTCAGGTTGTAGTCCTTAGCACCCATAGACTCTAAAAATGAGAAAAATTTAAGGCCATTGCTAGATAAAATTTAAAACAAATAAATTATTTTATTAAAGTACAAATTCAAGTTACTTTGAGATAACTTAAAGAGATGTTTTGTGAAAGGAAATGAAAAACAACCAAGTGACAGTATAGAATTAACTAAGACACCCACTGGAATATATAAAAAACAAACTTAAAAATATTATGATGAGTTTTTGCATTTCTTCACATTTCTAAATAATTGCTATACTAATTACCTTTCACTCTTTTCTTCTTTCTCTCTCATATAATATAGTAATATTAATGGTAGTGAAGTAAAAATAAAATTTATGTAGTATGGTAATATGTATCTATACATATATATGCAGTTGAGATTATTTTATTAAATTACATGGACTATTTCATATGCTACAAAAAATGATTCAACAGTATAAAATTCATTCACCACATAACTCACACTTCAGAGATTTTTCTACCTATACAGTCCACTGACTCAAGATATATTATAACATATGTACCATTATTTTATTATATCATGAAAATCAATCTGATTTGCCACAATTGAAAGTCATATATAATATTATAGTAGATTTGCATATATATATATATACATATATACACACACAAATAATTATGTTGAATTTTGTTGAGAAGGAACACATACAAACAATCACATAACTAATATCCAACAAAAAGTCATAGGGTGGTAATTATGTAATGTACCATAGTTTTATGAGGTGTCCGCAGAAGTAAGACCCAAATTGTGTTAGGGGTACACCATCTATCTGGTTTAAACTAAATTTCACTGGCTTCGCATGCTTAAAAATGAGAAAAGGAGCAGATGTGGAAGCCCACAACGTCCTACATCTTTACTAACTTTCACTGTCTGCAACTATAAGTAGGAAGGTAGTTACTAACAAAAATAATAATAATAAAATAGTAAGAAAGATAATAATTAGAGTATTATACATTGATTGGAGATACAGCAAATCTGTTCTTGAAATTGGCATTCCAGCCCCCAGTATGATGTTTGGACATAAATACCAAAATGTTAAGGTACCACTATACTAACCAACCTTTTTGCTATTAGTATAGCTCCCATCCTCCATCCTTCAATGCTACCTTCTGTGGTTCTAGAGAGAATCCACACAGTAGCAAGTCTTATATAGGGAAGGTAATAAAACTACATTAGTCTACCTATATAAGATTTTAAAATGTCCAAATATGCAATTCTAATTACTTTCCTTCCCACTCATAAATCTTATAAATTACTTGTTATTGTATATATTATAACTTTATTTATATTATTATTTTCTAATTTATGTAAATACTCTTTATATTTATTATAAAATCATTTAAAATATTTGATTACAATTTTTTCATCAAAGCTTTTCAAAATCAACTGTTTTACTAATATATTTGTACTAGATATTAGAAATTATATATTGCTACAAATTTTACAATATGTAAAAAGTCGTGAATGTTGAAACATTACTAGTTAGTGAGGGAAGTCCATATACTTGAAATATGAAATCATTTCTTTTTCATAAATATTACCATAATTATCAATTATATTAATATCTAAATCTAAATAATGTATGTCAGTATTTAATAATACGTGTCAACTATATTCATCCTATCTAGCTGCTCTTAATTTTTTTCTTCTGGCTACAAATGTTATAAAATGTGATAGTATGCAATGTCTCATATGTCCTTCTCTTAATTCTTTTCATCTAATTATATATAGAATTACTCATTTTGTAAAATTAAAAAAAATTTAAATTGTTTACTAACAAGTGGTATATGCAATATACAAAATGTAGGACAAATTTCTAATCCTTCAAACACTTGCATGGATCTGCACAGATCTTAAAGTAAAAATAATGTGGTAAGTTCGATTTAATTAAACTCTTCAGAATTTATTCCTTTGCTTCAATAGTGATTACAATTTTAGAAATTTTTAACACGAAACAAACAGATTACAAAAACAGCATTTTTATGTTCTTAAATAACAAACTTTTTATTCTTATAGGATTATAAAGATTATAATGGTACTACTTCTATAAATTTAAGTAATTATGTATTGGTAATTTTTGTTGATTATATAGTATTAATAAAAATGTACAGAAAAAAAAAATCAGAGGAAAATTTAACTAAACAATTCAAAGTTAAAGGTATTACTGAAAATTTGAATGACATCTAATTTTCAAAATAATCACACTAAACATTTATTTTCTGATATTATAAAATTTGGTCTTACGGTAAATAATATAAATGATACACTCAAAAAAATACCAATACGAAAATCATCATACATAGTAATTAATTTTAAACACAAAATTGTTAATGATTTGCAAGTTCCTAAACTTTTGCACAAGATTCTCTAATACAAAATATTTTCCTTTAAAAATACTTAAAATTTGTTATCAGTTTTAAATATGAAATTCTAATAGAACCACTTAAATATAAAACTATAAATATTATTTTATATTATTTAGATATAAATAATGTATACAATTTATCATGTAATTGTTATTCAAGCTCTTTGGCAGATTCTTGTTTGTTTTTTGAATTTTGCGCAAAGCTACACAAGGGCTGTCTGCGCAAGTGTAAGACTAGAGGGAAGGCAACTATTCATCACACCCACTGCCAACTCTTGGGCTACTATTTTACCAATGAATAGTGGGATTGACTATCAGATTATAATGCCCCCATGGTTGAAAGGGCAAGCATGTTTGGTGGGATGGGAAATCGAACCCGTGACCCAGAGATTGTGAGTCGAGCTCCCTAACCACCTGGCCATGCTGGGCCACAGATTCTTGTCATAAACATATTGTTACGTCTCCGTTTGTTAATTGATTTTCCGTAACTTCGTTCCGACGAAACTTAAGCGACACAAGTTCTTTCTTAATAAAAACTGGTTTATTCTTTCCGAATATAACTTTACCGATACACTCAACTTCAACAATCGCGCTAAAACAAACGCTATTCAAACGAACGTCAATAATACTTCTGACTGCAGATCAATTACACACTGTCTACACACACATTATATTACCGCGTCACATTGTCCCCTCTTATATATACCCGCCTACCCTATATCTAGTAAGAACTAGAACATTCGCCAAAGTACAGGATAATTCTAGAAAGTAGAGAGCGTGAGAATCACATGATCTCGATGACGCAACAATATTATTACTGGAAATTTGGATATGATAAAGGATAATTTTTTATGGAAAATCACGAAAAAAGTGCTTAATACAAAATAGCTAAAAAAATGTAGAAAATAGACATTCTAAATTCTATAAACAAAAAATTTGATGATTATATTCTAAAACTTAATTATTCTCCAAATTTGTTTTTAGAATGGAGATATTGTGTGATTAATAGAGTTAAAGATAGATTAACTTTTATTAATTTAAATATATATCCAATAGATCTAACATTTTTTTCAATTTAAAACTAAAATTTGTAAAATACAGGAGAAATATATTATTGTGCCTTTTAATAAAGCCAACTGTAATTTTGGCTTTATCTACGAATGCTTTTATGCACAAATTGTAATCAATGATATAAATACTACACAAACTTTTAAGATACAAATATGCTTAAAGAGGATATTATTAACAATTTGTTGAAAGCTGTAAAAAAATTTGATATTAAATCAGATCCATATTCAGAATTATCATATCTATATGCAATACCTAAATTACATAAACCTCCCATTAAATTTCGTTTTATTTCTACTTTGGTAAAAACTATACTAAAACAACTTGCAATTTTATTAAGTAAATTACTGAATAAGTTATTTCTTAAAATACAACAAAATATAAATAAAAAACAATAAGCAGATACAATCCAAACATAGAATTTCACTACATTATTTACAACTATACCACTTAATGATTTGGTATTGGTGATATATTCTTTAATAGACAAACTTATTGATCTACCTATAAATGTAGAAAATCAAACTTTTACTGTTAATAATATTAAAAAAATTATTCGGTTTTTGCTCATATAATATTTATATTCATTTTGGTAAGCATATTTATAAACAAGTAATGGGTATACTGATGAGGTCTAATTATTCAAGTTATGCTGCTAATTTATATCTTTATTATTATGAAAATAAATTTATAAATAATTATACAAATCCAGAATTATTTTCCTTAACATGTAGATATGTTTATGATTTAATTGGTATTAACAATCCAGTAATAAGTTTGTTTGTTAGTTTTAAAGCAAAGCCACATTGGGCTATTTATTGTGTCCACCACAAGGAATTGAATCCCAAATTTTAGGTATGTAAGTCATAAATCTGTAGACTTACAGCTGTCCTACTAGGAGACTTAGTAATAAGAAATTATATTGGTAACATTTATCTTGCAGTTATACAAATTGAGAATATATCAAATACTGAAGCACATTATTTAGATTTAAACATTAAGATGATAATTATAGTAATACTAATATTTAGATTTAAACATTAAGATGATAATTATAGTAATACTAATATTTAGATTTAACTATTAAGATAATAGTTATAGTAATATTTAGATATAAATATTAGAATAATAATTATATTAATATTTATGATTATGACAAAAAATGATTTCACATTTCAAATAAATTGTTTGTTTGTTGGGCTATCTGTGCTCTGCCCACCACGGGTATCAAAACCCGAATTCTAGCATTGTAAGTCTGCAGACATACCACTGTGCCACTGGGGGACCAAATAAATTGACTTCTCTCACTACATAGTAACCAACAAATGTCATACTGAGTATTATACTTTCGCAACTCCTTAGATATTGTTACGACAGTGGAAGTCACGTGACGCTGATGAGTTTCTCAAACGATTGGGGAAGTCCGAGTGTGCCAGAGAAAGCCAGTGGATTGAATGAAGAGAGAGCAGTAGTTACTTTGAGTTCCGTGTAATTTATGATTCTGTTGGTTTTGAGCTAGTGAGCTGTAAAGTGTGTATTTTGCACTAGTCTGGAGTG